ACTGCATAGTACCTGAAATACTCATGAAATACTGCATAGTACCTGAAATACTCCTGAAATACTACCGAAATACTGCATAGTACCTGAAATACTGCACAGCACCTGAAATACTCCTGAGCCACTGCACAGTACCTGAAATAGGAGGTAGGCAGGATTAAAAGGAGTGTGAGGAGCTAAGAACACCTGGGCTGGATAATGAAGGGAACAGAGGGACAGAATCTGTATGAACCTGTGTCCTGTATGAAGACATGATGTCCACCTATGGCTACATGTTTCTGTGTAATAGGCGGACATGAAAGGTTTTGCAGATGTAACAGCTTCCTGTCTTTTTCTTAAACATACATGACTCATATTTCAGTCACATAAACAGCCTCTGCTCGATGATTTGACCCTTCCAGCAGAAACAGGACTGCACTGCATCATTTGTCTTTCCCAAGCACAGATAAGCTCCTCCTATTAAAACACACTGAAAAAATAAAATATTCAACACACGTGTCCTTATTGCTGTAAAACACGTTTCTACCTTCACACACTGAATTAAGTGGACGAGTCAGAAGCCAAGGCAGCGTTTGAGTGTGCAGGGACAGGAGAGGGTACTTACAGAGATAAGGTCGTCTCTAACACACATGGAAACACAGTTTTCTCCATTCAACCCTGTTCTATGTGCACAATTCATGAAGCGGTTGCAGGCGTGATGAAAGATTACTACTGAAATATCAATAAACAGAAATACTGCAGTAATACACTAAAGTTTGGGGTGACTGTAAAACTCTGCGCTACATGTGCTCTAATACCAACAAGCTACATTCAAACTTTAAAATGCCTGCGTGCACCAGATGTCGTGCAAGTTTTCCTAAATGTTCAATTAGTTTTGAATGTTTTCCCAACATTTAGAGAAAAAAGGGGCAACAGCACCCACACCCACAGCATCCAGGTCAAGCTTGTCTGTGTGCAGACCAATAAACACTGTGCTGTATGACTGTAAATGAGTGGGCCGAGTATGACTGCACACCTTCGGTCTCTGGGTGGGACAGGACTTACTTGAGCACGTGCGTGGAGCCGTTTATCTGCGTGGCTGTGCATGGAGCGCCGGAGCCGAGGATGGACGGTCTGCGGTACCTCTGCCTCCCGCAACACAGGATGATGAGGAAGGCACGGCGGAAGGACTTGTTGAGGAACGCGTAGAGGATGGGGTTCAGCATGGAGTTGATGTAGCCCAGCCACAGGCAGGCAGCCCACAGCTGTTCGGGCACGGTGTAGTCTATAAAGGGGTCCACAACATTGGTAACGAAGAACGGCGCCCAGCACAGGCAGAAGCAGCCCATGATGATGCACAGCGTCTTTGCCGCCTTAGTTTCTGTTCGCATGCGGTGGTTGCGCTGATGGTCGGCAGAATCCGGTGCACCGGCACCGACCCCACCAGAAGTCCCGGCGGCACTGGTACCAGCTCCTCCGGCCCGCTGCAGCATACTGATCTGCAGGGCGTGCGCCCGGGCTGTGATGTAGATCCTCTGGTAGGCCAGCACCATGAGGACCAGAGGGATGTAGAAGGCCACCAAGGAGCAGGTGAGCGCGTACGGCTTGTTGACCATGAAGACGCAGGACGTAGTGTTGCTGCTGTTGTTGAAGCGCCGCTCGTTAATCTGGTGAAAGAGCAGGGAGAAAAGTCAGTGCGCACACGGGCTCAGCTCGCTGCTGCGACCAGCTGACCTTGCTGTCCGTAACATGCGACCAGCTGCAGTTATTCCACTTTATCTGTTTTTCTCTAGTTTTACTCTTATTTCATTTGACCTTTGGTTTTAAATTCAGTTTCCTGGGTGATTTTTCTTATTTGAGTTCAGCTTTTACTACATTCATCGTTTTTAATGATTGTATGCAGGGCACGTGTCAGAGGCAGGAAAATCAGTGCAGGATGTCTGTCTCCAGAAACACATCCATCAAAGCCCGTAATGACTGAACTAACGGGGACCAAAGCGCTCTCTGCAGTCGTTCATTCTAATTTGATCATTTTTATTTTATTCTAGTGCTTTTAGTTTTCAAGAGTCTAGTTTGTCTAGTCACAGGCGTAATATGGGATTTGGGCATATTTAGGAAAAGCACTGAACCTGCTCAGTGACCCATCATGTGATCAAAAGGTCCATTTACAGTGTAGAAACACGGTATATCTGATATTTATTCCTATAAAATATGCTGCTTACATTTTGTTGGTAGAGTCTTGCTATGCTCCGGTTCTGATGCTCAGGAGGGCAAAAAAATAGAAAACTAATTGTCGGCTGTCAGGCGAGTTCCTTCCACAGTGCAATGATGTGACATTAATCATGGATCAAATCTTTCTTCAAATACTACACGACTACTCGCTGTACCACTTATAGCAGCTCCATTTACAGTAAGCAAAACTCCGGGGACATTCTTATTTGCACGTGTCCTTAAAATGTAATTAATGTAAGCATGCAAAGAAACTTCCAAACTCCTATGAGGACACGTCGGTCTAATTTATGAAGTTACACAAAGCTGAAATGATCAGAACATTAAAAGAACATTATAATAACAGTAAATGTTAGTATGGCAGAGTGTTTCAGAAAAAGGTAAGGTGACATAATGAAGGAACACCTGAAAGACTCAAACCTCACTGATGGAAATGATCAGGATAAACCACAGAGCTGTCTTCATAAAGTCATCAGCACATCAGAAACAGCAGTGACACGAGCCCCAGCTGCCTGACAGGTCTGCACAAAACACTCGTTTCCACGTGATCTGTGCCAAAATCACTCGCAACACTCAGCAGCTTAATGAGCCCCACGAGAGCTGCTGCCACTGTGTGAGTGTGTGTGTCTCTGACTTTATGTGTGTCTGTGTGACCCCGGTCCTTGTGTTGACAGGCAGCTCAGAGAAAGTTTTGCTGGCGTTTGGATGAAGATGGACGGGGTGAGCAAGGTTAATGGTGGCAGGGGACAATCTCTCTCTCTCTTACACAGTCTCCTCGTGCACTCGCTCTCTAACCTTCCCTCTGTGTTTGTTTTTGGTCACACACACATGTGAGAATGATTTCCGCAATGCTCATGTTGTTAAAGACTTTATTTATCAGACTGTTTATGACACCAGAGCCCATCATCTCTGAAAACAGCGAGCAGCAGCCGAGACAGCTGGAGGAATACAAATGAGTGTGTAAGGCAGGATGGACACACACACACAAACACACACAGACACGCACACAAACACACACACACAGACACACACACAGACAGGGACACACACATCCACACATCTCACTGACTGTGTGGTCACGTCATGGCTACACTACATACACATCACCTTACACTGACTGATCCACTCATCACAGAGGTAGTAACCTGCTCTCACCTGAATCAGTGGATTTATACAGACTGACAGTAAATATTAGGGCTGGGTATCGTCACTGATTTCTAGAATTGATTCGATTCCGATTCACAAGGTCCTGAATCGATTCGATCCACGATTCGATTCAATTCGATTCGATTCAATTCGATTTGAATCTGGGAAATTTTGCCTCAGACAGTCAGAAATATTATAATTCAGATCAGTACATTTACATATTTTTGCATCTATAAAAAGGAAGCTGACACTTTCCAGACTTTACCAAAGGTGTGAGCATCACAGCAGATGCCTTTGTGTCATCGTACATCAAAAGCGAAAGAAAACTATTAATCAATTTATGAACATTACCCCTGAAGTTATAGAGGTTTTATTAGAGACATGGCTAAGCGTTTTGCATTTTGTATAATTTTAAAAAGTTTAAATTTGTTCAGAAGTCTATTGAACGACAGAAATTGGGTTTTCTTTTCGGAAGTAAGTAAAAGAGAAAAAAAAAACATCGGCCAACAGCGCTGTAAATAACTGTAGTCTTGTGCGTAACAAGCAAGCGAATAATGCAGAAAACAGATTTCGGGGATAGACAGGAAACTGTTCTTGAAGTACACTGAGAAAGAGAGAGAGAGAGCTGTGCATGAAGTGTGATTTTATCGTGGTGGAAGCAAAACAGCACAAGTCAGAGGGAGTCCATGACAATGTTTATGTGAAGCTCTTCTTTTGCTGCTGGTTCGGTCAATATTGTTTGGAGAGAGATAAAACTAACAGCTTTAGAAAAGGGCGTAAACACAAAGCGCAGACCCGCTGAAACATCAGAATCAGCGAGCTGTCGGCTTTCAGCCCCGACCGTGTCCGTGCCGTCGGGTGAGAAAGGCGACTTCTCACTGATTTTGATCCG